AAATTGGAGAAGAAAGCAGCTCACCAAAGACCGTATTTGCGGGATTCACGCCAGCCTGGTTCTTCGTGGCTTCGCCGATGAGACGCTCTCCGTCGGCGAAAGCGACATATGACGGCGTCGTGCGATTACCTTGATCATTGGCTATGATCTCGACACGCTCGTGCTGCCACACGCCCACGCACGAGTAGGTGGTCCCCAAATCGATCCCGATTGCACGCCCTTCGCCTTTTCCGGCCATTACTGAATGAAAGAATTGAACGAAAACTTAACAAACTGGTAAGGTAATCAGCCTTTCGGATAGTTGGATGTATCCAAGTGCCAACTCCGTAAACAGTAATATAGGGCGGATAAATTTTTAGACTGTAGAGTATCTTTTCAGATACCTTACTGAAAAAAGATAAGCTTTACATGAAGTCCAAAAGTTTTGACTCATCAAATTCAAATCTAAATAAGATTGCATTTCGATCTTTTTATTATCTAATAACAAATTAGTATTTAATAACAATAATTGGAAGAAAAACCCAATTATCACTTTTGTCTCGTTTTCTAAGCTACTTTACTTGAACAGCCTTACAATTATATTTTTTTCCTCTGTATCATGTATACGCAAGTATTGATAACGGGTTCATAATTTCATATAGAGAATTGCATCCTACTAAATATAAAAAATCAAGTGCATCCCACTCCATGTGAGTGCTATGTATTTATGTATATTTATTATATACTTGTAGCATTTTTTTTTATTGTATTGTCCAAATTTGAGTTCCAAATTTAAAATGCAAATAAATAATTATTCATATCTTATAGGTCGATATTAACGTGGACGTAAGTATAGTCAGTTATTTATAGTTTATAAATTATTCAACTACTTAATTTTTTGATATTGAGAGTTTATACAAAAATAAACTTATTTTTAATTAATGATACTTTAATATTATACTACCTCCTTTTTTTTAATGTTATTTTGACTTTATCAACAATTAACTAAATAAATGACGCTTTAGATTTTTTGTACATATTTTTCCATTAATACCCTCATTTAGCTAATAAATACACTACATATTTTCATATTCACTCTTCATTTTTCTCAAAACATTCATCTCTATCCTCATTAATGAGGGTTATTATTGGCAAAAAAAAAAGTTCTTAATTACTGAGCAACTTCTCAAAACGACATTTATTGAAAAGGAGAGAGTACTTATTATTTACATGGATTTTTAAATAAATGATAATATTTTACCAAAATAATTATTTTATGGGATCACATTGCATTCAAATCGAATTTCTTAATAAAATTTTAAAATGACACTTATTTTGAAATGAATATAATGTAATTTATTATTAGTCATGTGTACTGTGTGAGTTGTCTACTAATATTAAATATACATGTTTTATGTAATTTTTCACAATTCAAATTTCATATAACATTTTAAGTAAATTGATATACGCATATTGTATTACAATTGATTCCATATTTTTAATTTAAAAATATTATTTAATGAACGTTTTTAGTTTATAAATATTAATGAATATCTCTTATCCGTGCATTGCACGAGATTGATTTGTACTAGTACTGATCAACATTAGCACAGTAAATATTCATATAAAATAGACCACATTCCCGATAGCATGAATGAAAATCAATATATTTATCAACATGTAGTCCTTGATATTATCCTCCAATTCTAAGAAAAATGCATCATTTCTTCATTTTACAACAATCCCTGCCTATGAAATAATGAAAACACAACATTTTTTTTCGACGTCTAAACTTGAGGGATACACCACCAAAGCAGCTTTAACATTAAGTTTAAATTCTTCATCAATGCCACCTACAATTGTAAATACAAAAGGATGATGATAGCATAAACGAGCATGACACTAAGCCTCGAGGGAAAGAATGAGTTGTCCGCACCTTCATTAGTAGGAGAGAACATAGTATTCTGCCAGGTAAACCACTAGAGTAGAGACAAAATTGTTATCTAACGTTGAGCTACATTTCTGTATTATTCTAGAGTTATGAACAGTATCGTGCTACATATGGCGCGGTACTATTCGTTACTTTACAATTTTTATTTGTTTATTTTTTATATTATATGTACTGATTTAATTTAAAATTTAAAATTTATTATTTGACAACGTTTGAACCATTAAATTTATAATTTAATTTTAGAATTATATGAAAATATTATTCTTAAAAAAATATATATTTACATTGAATTACTATAAAATAAATCAAATAATATACATAAATAAGAACAATAATTCAAACTAGTAGCAGACCAACTAATATCATGATATATGTTATTTTATAAAATAATATGTCCAATTAAATAATATCTTGACATGTTAGATAAATTAAAATAATATGAATAATATATGTGGAGTAGAATGTACCGCGAACGGTTGAAGACCACATCTGATTGTTGTTTAACTCTACTACTCAAGAGTAGAGTAAAATCTAGTGATACTAAAGTAGAAATAAGGATTGGAGATGATTTTTTGTGGCCCTGAAAATAATTGTCATCAAATCAATGAACAAACTCGCGCGAAACGGCAATTCGCCGCGCCTGCTCTGGAGCAAGAGCGGGAACACGACGGTCAACAAGCACTCTAAGAAGGCTTCGAAAATTTCAAAAACATCCGAAAAGGAAGAGAAAAGCTCAAAAACGAAAAACTTGATGAAAAAGGCAGAGACTTGGGCGGGAATTTTGCCACGTATTTGCCTTGAAGCACGAGCAAATTAGAGGTGCCGAGGAGATCTAGGTCGGCCTCGGCTTCTCCATCCGCGTGGGCATTGGCCCCCAGGAGGCCAATGTCGTCGTCGTCGTCGCGCCTGTGACGAAAACTCCAGCGAGTTTGGGGAGAAGGGAAGGGAAAGGCGGGGCGATGAGTGGTGTTTTGAGCTTCTTCTCAAGCAAAAGAACGTGTCTCCGTTGTTGGAGGCAGAGTACCACCGATACTGCGTGGCGTACAACAGGCTGGAGATATGCCAATGCTCGAGCGGCGGCGATCCCGCCATAAAGGGAGTAGCTCAGGTATTGACGTCACACAAAATATGAAACAAGTTTATTTTATTTTTCAGTGATTGTCAAATTAGGTGACCAAATAGACTGGTAGTTGTTACATTTGTGTAATCAACCCACTATCAATGATTAACAATTGCAATGTTGATATGACTATTGTATGTAAAGATTTTATATAGCCAGAGTTTACCACTGGATGTTCAACAAAAGCTAGGGCAATTGCCTTGGCATGTAAAGTCATGATCACCGGTGGCGTAGCCAGAAAAAATTTTCACCCTTGGCTGTAAAATATATTAATGTTACTATTCGAACTGAGTTGTTTTCTAACATAGTTTAATTCGACATGTAAAAGTCCAAACTTGACTTTCTTGTATATTTAAACAAGCCAAAATCGAGCAACTATTCGAGCTTGTCTATCAAGCAAGTCGAGTCGAGCGTGTTCGGGAATAATTCAGTTAGAGTTTTGGGTTTTGTTCTAAGTTTTAAGGTTTATTAAATAAATTGAGCTGAGTTTATACGAGTCGAACACAATGTCAAATTTTTATTTATTTATTAAACAGCTAAGCCACGACAACTCATTTATTAAATGAGCAGGAGTTTGAACTTGAAATACTCGCTTCGAAAAATCTAGCTAGACACGTGTTTAAAGAAATCAAAGTATGAAAATTATTTATAAATTTAATATAAATTACGTGAATCCCACAATAAATATAGAACTTATTATATTTTCTAACTAGTGGTGTTTTATATGTATATGACTCTCTTTTGAACAAAAACTTGTGAATTTTTAACTATTATACATATGACAAATATTTATTTTTAATTGTTTCATCATTTTTTCTTCTAAATGTACAAAGATAAATTTTCTCATGTACTTGAATTTATTTAAAAGAAAATCATAATTTACTCAAATAACTACTATAAGACGGTGTAATAGTCCCGTCATTCTTGTTATATGTCATGTCATTTAAAGTGCATCTGCTATTTCATTGAATTTGTCAGATACATAAATGAGATTTAATAGTGAATTTCATATAATCAACTACCATTTATTTAAAAATTTAGTGAATATATAAACTTGATTGTAAAATCTATAAATTCAATTACATACTAAGTATGTATCTATATATATATATACTTGTTTGCAAGTTTCATTTAATTTTATTCAGCCTTCAATTAATAATAATATGAGTTCATATAATAAAAATAGGTTGCATTTAATAAAAATTTTTATGACCTCAATCCAAAAACCGTTACAACATCTTTTTTTTTTCTTTTAATTTATTTCATACAATCATTCACCTATTTTTTTACTTTATTTTGGATTTGTAACGGTTGCATACAATTACCATTTTTTATTTCTCTATATTTGGAGAATGTAACTGTTGCATGGTTACGAGATAATATTTAAACCCTTAAATTTGAATGGTGTTGTTGTATAGAATTGAACAATGATAATAAACGATAGCAAGGTGTAATTAAAGTAAAAGCAATGAATATTTTTATATTATTGATGTTTTTATGTGTGTACAGGAAGTCGGTTTTTGTGTATTACTGAGCTAATTTTATGTATCTGTGTACCATGTATGTCAAAAGATCCCCATATAATCATAAATTCTGCTATTTATAGCATGGTGCATTTGACTTTTCATACGAGGTAGATCAGATCGCATTTAATGTCGAGCAGCCTCATTAAAGCGGTCTGTATTGCAATGAGGGGACAACAATGATTACTTTTTTGATAGGTGGCACAATTAGAAATGCGCTTTGTCACCTGCTTTGGGATCCAGTCACCTCCGACCTTGATTTGAGTGGATAATCTTCAGGGAAAAATATTCGATAAATCGGTTTCGTGTCTTTTATGCGAGGTCGGTTTTCTGTTTCGAGTAGGTCGGTTGGCATTTTTGTTTGAGGCCGGTCTTCACCTTCTTATGCTCAGGTGAACTAAGTTTGCAGTGTGAATCAGGTTAGAAAAAAAAATATTTTGATGATGACATTAATAAATCTTCCCTTAATCATGATAAATCAAGTCGATTATCAACAAATGGTTAAAAATATTTTTTTTGTATGGACAACATGAAATTCAATAGAATCCTATATATTCGTAAAATATTATATCTAATATTTTTAAAATGTGTTGTTTTCTTTCTATTTTTATAGTTTTTCTTTTTCCAAAATATATATACATGATGAAATAAAAATAAATTTGTAC